GTGATGAAGTAACCTAAAATTTGGTGACGGGGAAGAAGCAAAATATTGATATTGTTTATATCATATATAACATATAACAATATAAATATGGGGAATAGATATACTATCAAGCCTCTTTATATAACTTTAGTTATTATCAATGTATATGAAATATGTGTCCTTGATTAATAGTTTTTTAACTTAGTTTCTTAGTGATGAAGTAACTTAAAATTTGGTGACGGAGAAGAAGCAAAATATTGAAATTGTTTATATCATATATAACATATAACAATATGAATATGGGGAATAGATATACTATCGAGCCTCTTTATATAAATTTAGTTATTACCAATGTATATGAAATATGTGTCCTAAATTAATAGTCTTTTACCTTAGTTTCTTAATGATGAAGTAACCTAAAATTTGGTGACGAGAAAAAAGAAAAATATTGAAATTGTTTATATCATATATAACATACAACAATATGAATGTGTGGAATAGATATACTATCGAGCCTATTTATATAACTTTAGTTATTACCAATGTATATGAAATATGTTTCATTAAATAATAGTCTTTTAACTTAGTTTCTTAATGATTAAGTAACCTAAAATTTGCTGATGGTGTAGAAGAAAAATATTGAAATTGTTTATATCATATATAACATATAACAATATAAATGTTTGGAATAGATTTATTTGCGAGCCTCTTTATATAACTTTAGTAATTACCAATGTATATGAAATATGTGTCCTTAATTAATAGTCTTTTAACTTAGTTTCTTAGTGATGAAGTAACCTAAAATTTGCTGATGGGGAAGAAGAAAAATATTGAAATTGTTTATAATATATATAACATATTTCAATATAAATATTGAGAATAGATATACTAGCGAGCCTCTTTATATAAATTTTGTTATTATCAATGTTTATGAAATATGTATCTTTAATTAATAGTTTTTTAACTTAGTTTCTTAGTGATGAAGTAACTTAAAATTTGGTGACGGGGAAAAATAAAAATATTGAAATTGTTTATATCATATATAACATATAACAATATGAATATGAGGAATAGATATACTTTCGAGCCTCTTTGTAAAACTTTAGTTATTTCCAATGTATATGAAATACGTGTAATTAATTAATAGTCTTTTAACTTAGTTTCTTAGTGATAAAGTAACCTAAAATTTGGTGACGGGGAAGAAGCAAAATATTGAAGTTGTTTATATCATATATAGCATATAACAATATGAATATGGGGAATAGATATACTATCGAGCCTCTTTATATAATTGTAGTCATTATCAATGTATATGAAATATGTGTCCTTAATTAATAATCTTTATCTTAGTTTCTTAGTGATGAAGTAACCTAAAATTTGGTGACGGGGAAGAAGCAAAATATTGAAATTGTTTATATCATATATAACATATAACAATATGAATATGGGGAATAGATATACTATCGAGCCTCTTTATGTAACTTTAGTTATTACCAATGTATATGAAATATGTATCATTAATTAATAGTCTTTTAACTTAGTTTCTTAGTGTTGAAGTAACCTAAAATTTGGTGACGGGGAAGAAGCAAAATATTGATATTGTTTATATCATATATAACATATAACAATATGAATATGGGGAATAGATATAATATCGATCCTCTTTATATAAATTAGGTTATTACCAATGTAAATGAAATATGTGTCATTAATTAATAGTCTTTTACCTTAGTTTGTTAATGATGAAGTAACCTAAAATTTGGTGACGAGAAAGAAGCAAAATATTGAAATTGTTTATATCATATATAAGATATAACAATATGAATATGGGGAATAGATAAACTATCGAGCCTCTTTATATAATTGTAGTTATTATCAATGCATATGAAATATATATCCTTAATTAATAGTCTTTTATCTTAGTTTCTTAGTGATGAAGTAACCTAAAATTTGGTGACGGGGAAGAAGCAAAATATTGAAATTGTTTATATCATATATAACATATAACAATATGAATATGGGGAATAGATATACTATCGAGCCTCTTTATATAATTGTAGTTATTATCAATGTATATGAAATATGTGTCCTTAATTAATAATCTTTATCTTAGTTTCTTAGTGATGAAGTAACCTAAAATTTGGTGACGGGGAAGAAGCAAAATGTTGAAATTATTTATATCATATATAACATATAACAATATGAATATGGGGAATAGATATACTATCGAGCCTCTTTATATAACTTTAGTTATTACCAATGTATATGAAATATGTATCATTAATTAATAGTCTTTTAACTTAGTTTTTTAGTGATGAAGTAGCCTAAAATTTGGTGACGGGGAAGAAACAAAATATTGATATTGTTTATATCATATATAACATATAACAATATGAATATGGGGAATAGATATACTATCGAGCCTGATTTATATAACTTTAGTTATTATCAATGTATATGAAATATGTGTCCTTGATTAATAGTTTTTTAACTTAGTTTTTTAGTGATGAAGTAACTTAAAATTTGGTGACGGAGAAGAAGCAAAATATTGAAATTGTTTATATCATATATAACATATAACAATATGAATATGGGGAATAGATATACTATCGAGCCTCTTTATATAAATTTAGTTATTACCAATGTATATGAAATATGTGTCCTTAATTAATAGTCTTTTACCTTAGTTTCTTAATGATGAAGTAACCTAAAATTTGCTGATGGGGAAGAAGAAAAATATTGAAATTGATTATAATATATATAACATATAACAATATGAATATTGAGAATAGATATACTAGCGAGCCTCTTTATATAACTTTAGTTATTATCAATGTTTATGAAATATATGTTCTTAATTAATAGTTTTTTAACTTAGTTTCTTAGTGATGAAGTAACTTAAATTTTTGACGGGAAAGAAGCAAAATATTGATATTGTTTATATCATATATAACATATAACAATATGAATATGGGGAATAGATATACTATCGAGCCTCTTTATATAACTTTAGTTATTATCAATGTATATGAAATATGTGTGCTTGATTAATACTTTTTTAACTTAGTTTCTTAGTGATGAAGTAACTTAAAATTTGGTGACGGAGAAGAAGCAAAATATTGATATTGTTTATATCATATATAACATATAACAATATGAATATGGGGAATAGATATACTATCGAGCCTCTTTATATAACTTTAGTTATTACCAATGTATATGAAATATGTATCATTAATTAATAGTCTTTTAACTTAGTTTCTTAGTGATGAAGTAACCTAAAATTTGGTGACGGGGAAGAAGCAAAATATTGATATTGTTTATATCATATATAACATATAACAATCTGAATATGGGGAATAGATATACTATCGAGCCTCTTAATATAACTTTAGTTATTATCAATGTATATGAAATATGTGTCCTTGATTAATAGTTTTTTAACTTAGTTTCTTAGTGATGAAGTAACTTAAAATTTGGTGACGGAGAAGAAGCAAAATATTGAAATTGTTTATATCATATATAACATATAACAATATGAATATGGGGAATAGATATACTATCGAGCCTCTTTATATAAATTTAGTTATTACCAATGTATATGAAATATGTGTCCTTAATTAATAGTCTTTTACCTTAGTTTCTTAATGATGAAGTAACCTAAAATTTGGTGACGGGAAAAAAGAAAAATATTGAAATTGTTTATATCATATATAACATACAACAATATGAATGTGGGGAATAGATATACTATCGAGCCTATTTATATAACTTTAGTTATTACCAATGTATATGAAATATGTTTCATTAAATAATAGTCTTTTAACTTAGTTTCTTAATGATTAAGTAACCTAAAATTTGCTGATGGTGAAGAAGAAAAATATTGAAATTGTTTATATCATATATAACATATAACAATATAAATATTTGGAATAGATATATTTGCGAGCCTCTTTATATAACTTTAGTAATTACCAATGTATATGAAATATCAGTCCTTAATTAATAGTCTTTTAACTTAGTTTCTTAGTGATGAAGTAACCTAAAATTTGCTGATGGGGAAGAAGAAAAATATTGGAATTGTTTATAATATATATAACATATTTCAATATAAATATTGAGAATAGATATACTAGCGAACCTCTTTATATAAATTTTGTTATATCAATGTTTATGAAATATGTATCTTTAATTAATAGTTTTTTAACTTAGTTTCTTAGTGATGAAGTAACTTAAAATTTGGTGACGGGGAAAAAGCAAAATATTGAAAGTGTTTATATCATATATAACATATAACAATATGAATATGAGGAATAGATATACTTTCGAGCCTCTTTGTAAAACTTTAGTTATTACCAATGTATAAGCTATTTAATAGCGCTTTTTTTTGTTTTTGATAGCGCTTAAAAGTGCTATTAACCGCGCCACTATTGTAAATATTTCTTATTTAATAGCACTTTAAAAGCGCTATTAAAGTACCAATTTATAATAGCGTTTTAATTAAAGTGCTATCAAAGTCAGTATTTTGCATGTTTTTTGTTTGTTTTTTTATAGCACTCTAAACAAAAAGCGCTAATATATAACATATGTTTGATAGCGCTTTCAAATAAAGTGCTAATAAATGGTACATATTTGGTACAATATTTTTAATAAGTACAGTACAATATTTTTTCTTACACAATCATTTTTTTTTGTGTAAATATAAAATAACTATATTCAATTCAACACAAATAACGCTTTAAGTTACTCATTGCATATATATTATGATCCATCAAATACCAAATAACATTTTAAATTACCAAATCCTATTGTTTCCAAATATCATAACATATAGAATATTAAGAGGGCGTTTGCATAGCCAAATTTGTAGATGCCCATCTATGAGTACTTCAATCCAAATCCAAAAACATACAATCAAATTCTCTAAATAAAACACCAAAAAAATAAGAAAGGATAACAAAACAATCCCATGTAGTAACCACCTTCATGATCCAAAAGCGTTGAACTCATAGATACAATCACTAATTAGGCAAAATAATTGCTTCTTGTTTTCCTGTATCATAGAAGGAATATTGATTATGTATTGTACAATAAAAACTAATTCAACATATAAAGAATAATCAAACATTTAATATGGGTCTAACAAGAAGCGCATAAAATAAGGAATGATTATTATAAACTAATAACAATAAATCGATATAACTAATGCAATAATTGAACTAATTAAGTCTAACAAGAACATGACTTGTAAATATATAGACCACAATTTCTATTATTAGATGCATATAAACACTAAACAGAATATAATTCAAATTCTCAAAATATACATAAACACTTAATTGTGTGTAACTTTCTTTTCATGATCCAGAACTAGATATCAAACACCTTACAATTGTTACTACAAATATCTAAAAATTTCAAGTAGAAACGGAAAACTATAAATCAATCATACAATAAGATATAAGTCATTTTTCCGTATTTTCCTATTTCAAAATTTAAATTCGAGACCAAGAAAGAACACTCAGTACCTCTGTGCCATATCTTCTAAACCAATAAAATACTAAAATCATTTATACGACAACTCTAAATCCAACTCAAAAATTAAAATTAAACATCTAAGTCAAAACATTTGAACTCTAAATCCATGAGTAATATTTGTCTTGTTTATCAAGTATCAAGTCAAGGAAAAACTCACCGAAAACATCATCCACCACATAAGTAGCCCAATCCTCCTTAACCTCAGTTAACTTATCATGAGAGTAGGTACGACATTTGTGGTCAAAAAAGTACTTCAAATATGAAAACATCAACAATTAATCGTGTTAGAATTAAATTATATTAATTTAATTTACAAAAGAATAATAATAATAATTAAAATCACGTACATTTGTGGGGATCATAAATTCATTTTCCATGATGACCTCTTTCATAAATCGCATTACAAAGTATCCACAATCAACGCCATTAATTTGACGAGGACACTACAAAAAAAAAATTTATATCGATTAATTTTACTCCACATAATTGTTTTAAAATAACATTAATTTAGACACATACCTTTATTTTTTGCCATGAGATTTTCTTTGACTTTGACACTTTAGGCACTTTAGAACTACTATTAGCACGATAAATTTGCAAAGCGCTAACAAAATAAAATTAACTTCAAATGAGTAATTATATAAATAATAATACGTACATAAATTTTAAATTAAAAGAGTCTATACTCACTTCTCAAACTTTGTTTTAAAATTTTGATGTTTTGTTGGCTCACCATTCAACGGATCCATGTAATATATCACCTCAGCATTGAGATTAATGACAAGCAACACCCGATGTTTCCTGCACCCAACATTTAAATATTGCATTAAAGATTCACATTCATTAGAGTTTTTTCTCGTTAATTTAATAACTTTTTGAATATAAATCTCACTCTAGATTACAAGGTGCAAGAATCATCTTATCCTTGAACTCCTCATCTTTCAAAAGTATTTTTGCTATACCATTTCCTAGATTATCCTCCCGTGATACATGTGGAGATATGAAAGAGAACTTATTTATTAATCCATTTGGACTAATAAACTTGTCATACAAATACCTAGAAATGAACAACAATTGATATTAATATATTTGTCACCAATGTGAATATTAGTCAACAATACAAATAACATTAATATTAATAATATATTTGTCAAATAAGAGAATATTTGTAATAATAGAGGTACCTGGAAAATACAGTGATAATAGATGCACTTAACCAATTGTGATCAAGAATCTCCTTTATACTCTCTACACGTAGTTGCTCTAAAAACTCCTCACCAAATATACTTTCCTCCATTTTTATTTGAATTAATGATCCAACCCTCATCATCTTTTTCACATACATATCAAGGAAAGGTAAATTTGCAATACCAGCTGAACCGCCAACTCTAGGAGACTCTTCGATTTTGAATTTTTTGTTACTTTTGTTGGGTGATGAAACTGAATATTCAACACTGTGTTGAATATTGTTACCTTTGTTTTGGGATTGACCAGGAATCTAAAAAGTTGTATTAATTAATATTAGTGATCAAATAATAAAACAAGTAGCGATCAAGCAACTTGATTATAAGTAATTTACCTTTTCACATTCAGCAACAAATTCAAGAAGTTTCGTTGGCCATGGCACAATTGTTCCTATTGCTTGACCAACCATGGATACATCTCCATCTTCAACAGATATAGGCAATGGGGCATTTGGCACAATAGCAACTTCGATATTAACCTTGACATATCCAGGTGGTAACGTCATGCCATGTACCGTGTTACCTTTGGTGTTATATAGTTTTCCACGAGCAACCAAACAACGACTCGGGGAGGATAAATATATATTAACAGGAAAGAGACCCTAAACCAATAAGATATGAATAAAAAGATTAACATCATTATTGAAAGAACAAACATATCGAATTTGAGAGATAATAAAGAAACCAATTACCTCGGGAATGTTGCCAAATGATCCAGGGTTGCAAGAACCTTTATCACTAGGTAGTCGACTCTCAGCTACTTTTTCTGGTTGTTTCCTTTCTACCACTTGTTCAAGGTGTTGCCTCTGTGCCACTTTTTCAGGTTGTTGCAACCTCTCTGACACTTGTTTAGGTTGTTGCCTTTCTTCCACTTCTTCAGTTTGTTGCCTCTCTAGCTTCTCTCTATCCAACTTATCTCTCTCAATCTTTTCTCTCTCTAGCACCTCCAATCTACTTTTGAGTGAATTACAAAAGCCATACAATTTTTCAAAATCCATTTGTGTGGGGCGATTTTGGCGTGGTAATATGTCCCTAGAACATACCCCAAAACCATAAGTCCTAACACGTCCAGAGTAGTTTGGGAGATTAAGAGCCTCAAATAATATGTTTGTGGGACCAAGGTCTTGTCTCTCTTCTTCAGATAGAGCTTCTGTTAACTTCTCCTGACATTGATAAGTATAAAAGAAATAACCAATAGTTAGATACAAGTTGCAATTAATGGCTATTCTATCAAAATAAGACACAAAGACTCAATTAATTAAGGAAAATCGAGTTTAATGACTTCAAACTAACTAACAAAATACAAATTCGGTAACAATGATGAGTATAGAAAAAGTGTCACATCTATAATGTGAGCATTTTGGAAATAACATCTATAGTGTCACATCTAAAATTCGACTTACACATTGATCCACAACTCTTTGAACATTCTCATTATCAATCACCCCGCTCTTATTGACGCGGGCAGCCTTCCACACTTGACTACGGTTTATCTCACCAACTTCTGACTCTTCTACCTGTATATACATTTTTACAAATTAACATAGCAATTAAATTTTTTTATAATATTGTATAGTACATTTATACACATACTTACCATATCAGCTTCAAGACGAGCACACCCTAAACGTGACTTTCTATAGGGATGTTGAGGATTTAACGCTCTTTCTCAATTCTCATCACTAACTTTCTGCATTTATTATAAAAAATGCATCCCACAACACTATCACTAATACTATAATCATGCAAAACTTTAAGGATCCATATCCAAGTGATAAAAGTATTACCTGAAACTTTGCAGTCATATGTTGGGCTACAAATTTATCCCAATCATCTTGTTTTATACAAAAAGAATATTTGGCCGGATGTTTAACAAAACCACCCTTACTATCTTTTAGATATGACCTCGCCATTTTTGTTCTGAATGCCCTGTGCAACTTTCCAGCTTCTCTATATACAAAGGCACGATGTTCCTCGCCAATTATAAAAGCTTTCTGCAAACAATTCAGTTTATTAAAACATAGTTCAGTTTATTTAAACATCCCAATGGATAGATTAACAAAATTAAAATTTTACAACTAGCTTAAGTTAGTGTGTTACTTCAATTTCATCCCAAATGTTTTGTTTATAAACCCCCACAGCCTCTTTATTTTTTTTCGCGCTCCAATTGTCCAAGCTTATTGGAACTAACCGACGAACTGTGACACCAATGAAACTAGCAAAAGTCTTGCTATTATGCTTGATTGGTTGACCTCTGGAATTCCATTGAACCTATAACAAAATTAAAGTGCAAATAAAGAATCAACAGTCTCACTAATAGTGTTTAACATTCAAATAGTTTCAAACAACTAACTCATAAAAGATAATCATGTATGTAACCATCACTCATACATAGTTCAGTAAAAGGAAAATTTCCAAGAGAGTAAACAGTATCATAAAACTCTAGCTATTTTACCTCAATTCTCTTTCCATTGCTTTTGGCTTTGTGAATTTTTTGCAATGGGGTCACACCACGTTTACCAACTGTTTTCTTACTAGACGAACCACTTTCATCATCAATAGAAGCCATATTTCACCTATAAAAATTTAAAAAGTTATATACCATACAAGAATAACATTAAGAATGAATAACAATAAAAAAATGAAAAACAAATAAATAAACCATACAAGATTAAGTCGGCCTTTTCCTCTTCCTTGTAGTTGGGTTCCTACTTTTCTGTTTTCTAGTTACATAAAATGATGGATTGATCCAAATCCCATCACTGTGATCGTTTCTCATATAAAGAATATCATCTATAATTGATTCAGACTCAAGGGATTGTGAAGTATTAAAGAAAGGGTCATCCTCAACATCTATATTTGGAGTGGTGTGATCATTTATTTTGTTACTTAGAAACACAATAGACCACTTTTCATCAGCAGGATCAGTGACATAGAACACTTGGTGAGCTTGTGATGCTAAAATAAAAGGCTCGTCTTTATACCCTACTTTATTAAGATCGACCTTCATGAACCCAGGGTCAACTTGAAGGCCATTGTTATTGTCAACCCACTTGCAACCAAACACGGGCACTTGAAAGCATGAGTAATCCAATTCCCAAATACGTTCAATGACCCCAAAATATGACAGTTTGGAAAATGCGGGATTTCTATTTTTGGAACTTGAGATATGCACAGATTCAGCTACGAGTGTGACACAGCTATTTTGCACAGTGCTTTGATGATCATGTTCTTCTGTATAAAATGTATACTTGTTAATTATATAACCAGAGTACGATAGAACATTTGAATTTGGACCATTTGCTAGCCATCTCAATCTTTCTGAAATTGAATCAGGATTTTTAGCAAATTCTGAAAAAATGTGTTCTTTTAGCCACGGTATAAAACTTCGATTGTGTTCTCTTGTTAACCAATTTTCACTCTTATTAGGGTTCAAACTTTGAAGTATTTCTTTGTGATTTTCAACATATGGCTCAACCTCATCAGCATTGTGTAGAACATACAAGTGTGATTGCTCCAATTCGATGTCTGACATGGTTACTAGTTTACTTGCACCAATCCCTTCCCCTGTTGTTTTTCCAGAGTGTCGTGACATTGGAATCCCTATGGGCTCAATATTAGAGAGGTATTCAGTACAAAACTCAATGGCTTCTTCAACTAAATATCGTTCAACAATACAACCATCTGGTCGACTTCGATTCTTCACGTACCCTTTTATTATCTTCATGTAACGCTCAATCGGGTACATCCACCTCATATAAGCTGGTCCACAATATTGTGTTTCCATTATAAGATGGACTGTAAGATGAACCATTATGTCAAAAAATGAGGGTGGAAAATACATCTCAAGCTCACATAATGTGACAACAATTTCCTTTTGTAACGTCAGTAACTTCTCAGGGTCAATAACTTTGCTACAAATAGCTTTGAAGAAAAAACAAAGTTTAGTTATGGTCCATCGCACATTTTCAGGTAAAATGGAACGTATAGCCACTGGAAGAAAGTTCTCCATTAAAACATGACAATCGTGAGACTTTAAACCCTTCAATTTGAGATCTTTCATAGATACCAAACTCTTAATGTTTGATGAGCAGCCCTCTGGAACTTTAACATTGTGAAGAACCTTACACAAGATCTTTTTCTCTTTTCTTGACAGAGTATGAGCTGTTGGAGGTAGAAATGTACGCTTCCCATCCCTCTTAACCGGCTGTAACTCATTTCTTAATCCCATACTTTGCAGGTCTAACCTTGCATTAATGCCATCCTTAGACTTTCCTGGAAGATTGAGTAATGTACCAACGACACTTTCAAACACATTTTTTTCTATATGCATCACATCAAGGAAATGTCTAACATACAATGACTTCCAATACGGCAATTCAAAGAAAATTGACTTTTTTTTCCATCCTCCCTTTACAAGTTCACTTGAAAATGGCTTTCCAAAATTAGTGCTCAAAAGCTTTACCTTTTGGTATAATTGATCACCCGTCAAAGCCAAAGGAGCTCTATTTTCTTCTGATTCACCATTAAAAGCTTTTCTCCATTTTCGAAAATGATGGTTGGTATTTAAAAATCTACGGTGTCCAAGAAATACATTCTTCATACAATACTCCAATCGTATTGAATGTGTACCATCTTCACATATGGGGCATGCAAATTTTCCTTTGACACTGTAGCCTGATAGATTCCCATAGGCAGGAAAATCATTGATTGTTCCAAATAACATAGCCCTCAAGTTGAAGGATTCTTTTTTATACTCATCATATACCTCCACACCTGTCTCCCACATATGCTTTAAATCTTCAATTAATGGAGCCAAGTATATATCTATATCATTTCCTGGTTGCTTGGGCCCAGAAATTAACATACTCAACATCGTGTATTTGCGCTTCATACATAGCCATGGAGGTAGGTTATAAATCAACAAAATGACTGGCCAAGAAGTAAGTTTACTACTTTGAATACCATGAGGATTTATTCCGTCAGTAGACAATGCAAGACGTAGGTTTCTTTCTTCCTTCCCAAAATTTGGGTAATCATGATCAATTTTTGCCCATTGAGGAGAATCTGCGGGATGTCGGAGCATTCCATCAACAACCCTTTCATTTGCATGCCATGTTAAGTTCTTTGCGTCTTCTGCATTATGATACATGCGCCTAAATCTTGGTATTATCGGAAAATACCATAGCGTTTTGGCTGGAGCTATTTCTTTCTTCTTATAGCGTGGGGCACTACATTTAGGACACATATTCAACGATGCATACTCCTTGCGAAATAAAATGCAATCATTTGGACAAGCATGTATCTTCTCGTAACTCATGCCAATAGAACATAACAATTGTTTAGACTCATACGTTCGACTAGGGAGCACGTTGTTCTCAGGCAAAATATCCTTTAACACAGTCAACAAGTCTGTGAAGCTCCTATCGGACCATCCATGGCGTGCTTTTAAGTTATACAACTTTAAGACCGTTGACAGTCTTGTGAATTTAGTACATCCATCATACAACGGAGTCTCTGCATCACTTACTATCCGCTCAAACATTTGAGGACAATCACGAAGATCTTCCTCAATTACATTGACAAATTCTTCAACTCGATCAAACGCATAATTCGTATCTTTTTCAAAATCATTTGATGAATCTCTCCCATTGCTCCTTTTTGTGGACTTGGTTTTTTTTTCCCCGTGCATTATCCAGCATGTGTAGCTTTTATCAATTCCATTACATATTTAGTGATCTTCCAAAACATTTGCACTAACATCCGTATAACAACATTCTAAGCAAGGGCATATGATTTTACTAGTGTCTTCAGCATGAGCAATAGCAAACCTAACGAACTCACGAACTCCATCTTCATATTCTTTTGACGCTCGATTGGCAAACATCCATTTTCGATCCATATTTCCTAACAAGTAACATATATAACTAGTTAAAAATTGGTTCTAACAACCAAATTATGTTCCATATTGGATCATTTCACATTTGAAACTCTACTTTTAAATTGATTATTTCACATATTATGAACTGTATTATAATGGTATCTAACATGCTTATCAATATGATCTATCAGAGTAAAAACTCGAACAGCTGTAATTTCATTATCAAGAGAGTGGTATAGATTGCCTAATACATATATCATAATACCCTCTAAAGTATACTGATCAAAGTTATTAAGTAATATTAATTCATCGTTGGATAGTAAACCATTGTTTTTTATATATTCAATAGCAGAAGGTTTATTATCATCAATAAAGAGTTTTATTAAATTAGGATAATTTTTATATACATCACTTTTATCACTCAGGAATTATAGCATCATCAGGAAGTATTCAATTCAGATAATACTAATATTGGGTTTACTACTTTTTCTATTTAATATAATATTAAGGATCCACTAGTTTGTAAAGCTCTATATTCTCAAACCCACTTATTTTTATTAAACCACATAAAAACAGGACCAAGTCATGATTACGTTCTAAGGTTCAAACAAAAGGGTCTTCATATTTTATACTCACATGCCAAATTTATTTCCAAGACATTATTATAATAATAATTAATTTGACTTGTTGTAATAAATACTACAATATCACCATTTTAT